AAGCAAGATACGGTAGAGATGCCCTACGCTACCCAAGCCGGAGGGTCCCGAAAGCGTTCAAATGTAAATCCCGAAGACCGAGAGGAACGCTTAAAGGAAACCAAATCGGAAAAGCCAAACCTAGATGTATTGCAGACCATTGGGGTTGAATCTGATGATGAATAACTATTTTTGAACGAGCGTGCTTATTTCTCGCCAGGTTCTAGATTTGCAGTGAACTGGACGACCTGCGAATAATCTCAAACCCGATATTTTTTCATGTGTCACATATTAGATAGGTGATAATTTACGTGATCTTTGTCGAAGTCAAAAAACGGAAAGGCTTATAAGTAATGTACCTACATAGCCATAGTCATTATTGTTGTTCCAGGCATACGTTGGCACCTAGATATAAAGCATGTCTGAACTTAAGCGCTTGCAAAAATTGTCTTCAAAGACACAGGGGTTTGTCGGACGAATTCCTTTCGCTTTCCATGTGGCTAGTATACCAGAGACACTATCTGAATAGTTGACTGCGTTAACATTAGTTCCCTATTTGTATTTCACATCTTTTACTTCCACACGTCTACCCCAAGTAATATGGATTAGCAGAACAACCAGTGTTTGCGCTTTGTATTATATTATATAGTCACAATGCCGTGGAATGCATAAACAAGATTGTTGATAAAGTGACGAAAACCGGTTCTTGACAGCTCTAGTTTCTCCTGTTCGTTGAACTAGGGACTTTACGTGCAGTCAGTCGAGATAGAGTCCGTAGGATAATCAATTTGTCCGTAAGATTTAGTGTCTGCTACTCAAACTGGCCGACTATCTACATTACCGTCATTTTCTCTTTAATTGAAGCGTAATTTCAAGGGTTTATCGTGTCAAAGTGCGATCACGAGAAGCTGAAAGGCAGCAAGTTACGTGCACTGATGCCAGACAGAAGAATGTTGCTTTTTCCCAAAATTTCCAATTCTCAAAGGATGAAATTCGAATTTTCGATTCACTGACCACTACTCAATAAATGCAGAGATAAGATTCACACCATAAAGCCAATAAAAAGAAAGACAACGACAAATATGCGACTGTACAATAGGTTTAGTACGGTTAACATAAATTTCCCTTTCGTGTGCTCAATCCACATCGGTTTAAAGTATACAGGACACTATCACAGCATAGTATTTAGGTAGATGAGTGAATGAATAACGAGTCATACAAACTTGATCAGACGAACAATTCAGTTGGACACAGCCTTAATTTTCACTCCCGGTGGGATCGGGACAGGCACTGATGGCTTGTGATCCACTGTTTTGTGAAGCATTATTCCCAGTAATCCACCGCGTTGTGCAATCGATTGTTGTACGCGTTGTTCCTCTTGAAGCAGTTCGTCCATACGAATAAACTGTTAAGAGTAAAGCGTGACACAATGCAGTGTATGTGTACGGAGACATGTTCCGGCAGTCAATCATTATACAACAGCAACAAAGAAAAACAGCTTTCACGCGTTACTAAGCAAATTCGTCAGAGAATTGCTCGAATTTTGGGATTCCATGGGCGAACTAGATATGAAGCACATTGGATTGAATCACATGTAAGTACCGACACGATTCAACAACCGGATAGGAGAACATAGAACAGGCCTTATAGAGACCTGATTATGAATCAGAAGTCAGATGTAAACCGCTCCACAAGTGTTATCATATTGCACATCATTGTGTGATGAAAATTAAGAGATAAACACCATAATCACGAGGATCTCTTGGTCATACGTGATAAGCTGCAACCTAAGCCCTGAGACAAACACGTTTAACCCCTCTAAGATAGGCGTGGAATGTCTCGGATGACAGCGAAGCAGCCTACAACCAAAATAGGGTATTGGTGATGAGAGCTTTTAATTTTGAACCTTGGAGTGCACAGTACGGTGATGATAACAGCTAAAAGCGCCTGACCATTAAACAGAGGAACTGTGCGAAACAGCACGCTGTACAAGAGCACCGGCTATGAGAACGCCAAAATTGATCGATTTGGGATCTAATTTTAATGGTCACTAAAGTCGTGTAAAGCTCCCTGTCGTGTCCCATTCTCGATTGATCACAATGTACACACAACAAGATATCACACGATGACACACAAG